CCCCAAAACCCCAAAACCCCAAAACCCCAAAACCCCAATACAGATGTTGCTTATATAAATTTAATTACAGTTATATTATTAAAAAGGTAAGAAATCTTGAAGTATGGAGCTAACATCACTCTTTGGTTTAATTGTGCAGGCAGAACTGAATACCCTATTAGTACAAGTATCTATTTCCTTAAGCATTTAAAGTACAAAACTCATTTTTAAATTTAGTTATGTTTGCCTCTTTTAAACAGTTATTGAAGCCTCCAAATTTTGTGCTAAAATAAGTAAATATTTAGAAACTACCAAAACTTAATTTTATAGATTGATAAACAATGCTAGGAAACTTAGAAATGAAAGATACAAATTGGGAAGAAGAGTTCGACTCAGTCCATATATCCAAACAAGACTTGAATAAAATTGTCATGAACTATTTATTAGTCGAAGGGTACAAATCAGCAGCTGAAAAGTTTAACCAGGAAGCAGGAATGGCTACTTCTCCAGATGACCCTCACAACATGAGTGGACTCTCGGGCTACAGTCTTATTGAAGAGAGAAGATCCATCAGAATACTTATTCAGGAGGGAAAGATTGTACAAGCAGTGGAAATGATTAATGACATTAACCCTGAAATTCTAGACAATGACGAAGAACTTTATTGTAAGTTATCTTATATTAATTAATCGGGGAAGAAATGCACTCTCTTCATGGGAAAATACTATCTCAATCATAGTGATAGATGTTGTAGCTAGCTCAGCTATATCACATTTTTATACATTCTAGATTTATTCGAAATTTGAATTTTTTGAAGAATTAAATAGAGGAAAATAATTCTGGAATATAAAAGATCCGAGGATAAATAGATCTCAAAATAGTGAAACAAAAAATGAAATTTGTACCCTTGATTGTTTCCCTAAATACCTCCAGAAATCAATCTGAGCTATCAATTTTTTGCAGATATCTTTTATCTTGCATTCACCATTTAGTAACTTTCCACATGCTTACTTTTTATCAAATTTGTTAAATCATTTAATATAGGAATGATGTGCAAGCAGAGGTTGCTAGAATTAATAAAAGAGAATAAAGTTAAGGAAGCCATTAAGTTCTCTCAAGGATCTTTAGCAGAAAAAGCCAAAGAAAACCCATGGCTGTTAGACCAATTAGAAGAAGTGATGTCTCTCCTTGCCTACAAAGATATCAAGGACTCCCCGATGAAGCACTTAATAGGTAATAACATAGACAACTCAGATATAATTATTACTCTTTCCAATAAAGATATTATTAACATTTAAAAGCAGAAGGAATATATTTTGAGTATCTTTTCATTCAAAAGACAAGTGAAAAGATCACAAAGCTTTTAACAATAATCTTAACAATTTTGCTAATCTAAGTCAAAATTTATGCAATTTGAAACTAATATATTACTCTTTACCAATCCGTTTTGTCCAACTCTTCAAGCGTGATCGACCATTAGCTAAATTTGAGCCATTAATTGTTGCTAACTCTATATAGATATTTCTCAAAGGCAGAAACTAGCCTCAGATGTCAACAAGGCTATCTTAAAGAGCCAATGCGTACCATCAGAAGTAAAACTTCCGTTTTTCCTAAAAATGCTGGCCTGGAGCGAAGAAAAAATAAGCGATCCAGAGTACCCAAAGATTAACTTTGACCAGAAGTAAACTTAATTCTATTCATCCTTCGAGAAAAGGGGTTTTGGGGTTTTGGGGTTTTGGGG